GTGGGCGGCACCTACTTCGTGACCACCAGGCAGACCCTAGGCCGGGAGCCCAAGTCCTTCCTCTGCCGCCTGTGCTGCCAGGAGGACCCGGAGCTGGACTCGGACAAGGTGCGCCCCGCCCTCGGGCGCGCCCCCGGGCTGTGGGACCCCTTCTAGGCTAGCCTTCCGATCTCCGGGGCGCGCTTCCCTCCAGCAGGCCCTGCAAACCCGGACCTCAGTCCACCCTCGCCCCCCGGGTTAGCACCTGCGGCCTCGGAAGGATCTCCCCTCCCCATTCCCCCTTCATCTTTAGGCACACTCCCTCCGGCTTCGCTCCGCACCCCGCCCTTTTCTCAGCGGCTCCTTCCAGGCGCTGTCCACCTGCACCCACGGGACCCCCCTGTGTACTCGGCTGACATTCTCTGCCCCTCCCGAGGATCCCACCTTCTTAGATGTGCATGAGTTTTTTCCCTGGCTCCGGTACAGCCCCCGCTGCTGGTGCCAGGTGCATTCAGAACTGGGTCAGGGTGAACGACCACATCTTTTGTCACTTTAGTAAACTTGGGGTTTAACGACAGACAGCCTCCACCACTGAAGGCTGCTGGAGGTGCTCTTGGTGGGGTTGCACGACTTCCCCCAAATGCTGGTCCCAGAACTTGTATGGGGTAACAATCGCCGTTTCGGCACATTTTTGGAAGTAAATGCATTCCTTGGGAAGATGATTGCACTTGCCCATGCAAATCTAGGCTGACCAGTTAGGACTCAGCAAATATGTAGACCGGGGAATAAATACCGTTAGACAAGGTGGAGGACCGCTGACCAAAGGAAAGGTTGAGGGGTGGCAAGACGTGTCGTTCGTTTCCAGTTTGAACTGCAACTTTTGTAGGTTCATCTTTGATTCTCAGATGCATTGGCTGTAGCTTACACCGCCTTCCATGCCATAAAGCACTCCTGTGGTTAAGTTAGACTTGCATAAACACTTAGCAATTTCGTCTGTTCTCCTCTGATACCAAATTGATGGGAACCTCACCCATCCTGACTAAAGAGAGTTAGAATTCCTGTTTATAGGGAGTTATTTTTATATACCCTAAATCTTCCTTCTGGCCACAAAGCCAGTTTCTTGTTTCTTTTACTGTAAAGATGAGTAGAATTAAAGCTGCCCAGAGCCAAGCCCTGGCAGTACCACACTTCCTCTGGGCACAGAGCTAGGGTGTGTGATTACAGCTGGCAGTGTGGACTCCCACTGATGTTGGCCTTGGGCTCAGGAGAGTTGCCAATAGAATGGAGGTTTTCTTAGAATTAGGAATGTAGTCCAGGGGCAATGAAGAATCAAAATGTTCCACAACAGCTATGGTATTTCCTTCATCTCCTGGTATCCTACAGAAGAATGTTACCCAGTAAATAAAGGCCTAGCAATGAGGATGACTGTGCATCTATGACACCAGACCTGAAATTATCTTAAATCCAGCCTTCTGGCCAATAGTTTGAGATAAGCAAACTGGGCCGGGAGGTGGTGTCGCACACCTTTAGTCCCAGCACTCGGGAGGCAGAGCCAGGCGGATCTCTGTGAGTTCGAGGCCAGCCTGGTCTACAGAGAGAGAGACCCAGGACAGACACCAAAACTACACAGAGAAACCCTGTCTTGGGGGGGAAAAAAAAGATAAGTAAACTGTAGCAAAACAGGCCTCACTTAAAAAAAAAAAAGAGCTGGGATTAAAGGATGTACCACCACACCTGACATCTGTTTTTTTAGCATGGAGTGAATCTGTTGCCTGAGTGCACTGACAGATTGGAGGAAATACAATTTAGAAAATATTCCTGAAAGGTTGTGTTTGGTCGACAGGACGAGACTGGAGCGTATCTGATTGACCGAGACCCCACCTACTTTGGTCCTATCCTGAACTACCTCCGACATGGAAAGCTCATCATCACCAAGGAGCTGGCAGAAGAAGGTAAGGACACCTCACTGAGTGGTTTCTGACTTCCAGGCCACCAGAGCTGCCTCGCAGGCTTGAGTTTGTTTGGGGTCCTCACTGGACTTGTGCAGATGTGATGCTGGATCCGAGAAGTAAGCAGGAAGCCTCCAGCTCCCGGGGCTTGTCCTGAGAGCCTTGAAGGAGCTGCACTGGGCTCCGTTCAGCTGCCGTAGTGGGAAGCTGGGTTGCTTTGCTTTGCGGATTACTTCAGGCTTTTGAACCTGCAGAACTGATTTTATTTGCTGGCAGTGAGTGTCCGTAGCCTGAAGCACCACATCTCTGGCATTCAGTTATTTTTATTTCCCCATTTTCCTTTGGATTTGCAAAAATAATATTAATAAAGGTCTGACCTCATTTCTTTAAGACTCTGGTCTCATGCTTCCCTGTGAAGCTGTTCTGACCTAATTCACTCTGCAGCTCATTGTCAGCTGTGCCTCTGGTTGCCTTGTCGATTGGCTTTGTAGGGCATTTGGACTGTAAGTGGGTCTGTAAGTGGGTCTAGTCCTCCATGTAAAAGGCCTACCTGGTCTCCTGAGGCATTCAGTGGAAATTTGGGGCCCTTTCCTAAATCCAAGACCCTGATCTAAAACCTCTGGATAGGAAGGCTTGTAATGGCAAGCCACTTCATTAATGAGGATGGCCAGTAAAGAGAGCAATTGTGAATTCTTGCTCATTCTCTTTCTCTCTGAAGCCTTTTAAAAAAAAGTTCAAGCCGGTAGGTAGTGTCCCATACCTTTAATCCCAGCACTCAGGAGGCAGAGGCAGGTAGATCTCTGAGTTTGAGGCCAGCCTGGACTATAGAGTGAGTTCCAGGACAGCCAGGGCTACACAGAAACCCTGTCTCAAAAAAGCAAAAAAAAAAAAATCATTTCATATTCATACTTGAGTAATAGGAAATGTATAAGGAAATTTAATATTGATCATTTATCTGCATCTTCTTTCCAGTTTGTCCATTGTTGTGATAATGTTCATTAGAACATTTTTTCCCAGTGCAGGAGCATACATCTCATAGTTGTCCCAGGATCTTTGAGAAGTCATGATTGCTGTCCTCCACACACGCCTTTTTTTGTCAGCCGGGGATCAAACTTTCTAGGCAAGCATTCTGCCACCCCTGATGGCCTTTTAATTTTGTTCAGCTAATAATTACCCTATTAAACTCTTAAGTTTATATACCTGCACCTGTCCACCAGCCCTTTTTAGGGAAAACAGGTAAATACTGCAAGGTCAGGAGTTATCCACTGTGGCAGGTTCCAAGAACTCGGTGACATATGGATAGCTAATGCACAGGTGCATAAGATGGGAAACAAGAAAACCCCTGTGTTTTATTTACTTTAATGTGGGAAAGGTTATGGGCATGCCCTATATGGCAGAGTTAAATTTCCTAGGATGAAAGGGAGATGAGATTTGTGTTTGAAAAACGCAGTTCTTTTTTCTTTCTCTTTTTCTTTTTTTTCTTGGTTTTTTTTTTTTGGGGGGGGGTGTTTGTTTTTTGGTTGTTTGTTGTTGTTTGAGACAGGGTTTTTCTGTGTAGCCCTGGCTGTCCTGGAATTCCCTTTGTAGACCAGGCTGACCTTGAACTCACAGATCTGCCTGCCTCTGCCTCCTTAGTGGTGGGATTAAAGGTGTGCATCACCACCACTGCCACCGGCAGTTCTTTGCAGGCCTTGTCTTGCTGTTTTCGTGGTGAGCTCACACATCTCTGACTTCGGTCTGGTCCTTGTTCTAGGTGTGCTGGAGGAAGCAGAGTTTTACAATATCGCATCTCTCGTGCGGCTGGTTAAGGAAAGGATACGAGACAATGAGAACAGAACTTCACAAGTAAGGTGTCTGGAACTGCTAAGGGCAAACCTCTCCAGTGGTGTCTCTCTCTCTATCTCTATCTCTATCTCTATCTCTATCTCTATCTATCTATCTCTGTGATGTGAAAAGGGTCCCTTTCTCCTCAGAGCTGGAGGGCCAGAATGGCTCAGAGTGAGGATACTGAGGAGAAATAACAGAACACAGAACAGCCCCACCCCTTAGGATAGAGTGTTACTGTTCACCATGTGCTGGTGGGGAACGCCAAGCCACTCTAGATCTAGCGCCTGTTCTCCAGGTTGTAGCCAGCCTGGTCTTGCACTTTCCTGCCTCAGCTTTCCTAGTGCTGGAATTCCCGGCCCAGCAAAGCTTGTCTTTGCTGACGGAGCATCTGCCTCCCACAGTATGAAAGCCCATAGTCTCACTTGCTCCTCTTATGTACTAGGACCATCTTTAAGCTCTGATCACCTCACATCAGGTTCTGCAAGCCACTTGAAAAACATGTGTGAATCGTGCTACTGAGAAGATGATATCCAGTCTCTTCTTATCACAATATCTGGATTTTTATATTGGCTCAGTAGCTGGGATAACAGAAATGCCTCCTGTTGGGGGAGGGCAGATGGTAGGGCAGACGTAGCCTGCTTCCCATGTCATTCATCACGTGGGTGAGCAGCTTCTGTAGTGTGTGAAGCCCTTGCGATTCTGTAACAGGAGAAGGTCCTTGTGGAGTCTAACCGAAGAAAATAGACTCTCCCTTTCCTGTGTGTAAGAAACGGCAGCTCCAGATTTGCAGGACCAGGCAGGTTGTGCTCCTCCGTGACCACCTGTCTGAATGGCATGCTTCTTTCTTACACCACCTTATTCCAGCAGTGGCTCTTTTCCTTACTCTGTCACAGCCTTGGCTGTCACTACTAAAGAAAAGGCCACCAGGGTTGCTGAGCCACTTTTCCCAGGCGTTTGTTAGCAGAGATAGACTTCTGGCCTGTGCTTAGAAGACTTCTTGTTGATGTTTACTGGTCGATTTATACTTGGTAGACATCAGACTGTGTTCTCTAGTCTCTGCCATCCTACATTTCCATGGCATCTTTTGCTTTGTAGATATTTAATAAATAGATGTTTCAGAAGTCTAGCTTTATTCCCAGTTTCCCACATTCTAAAATAAACTTGATTGCTTAGTAGAAATTTTGATGGTACCCTGAATTGCATAATCTGAAACCATCCAAATCATGTTCTGTATTCTTTGCCATTAGTTGATTCCTTGAGAGCATCCCAAGATTTCTTTTTGATGGCAGCAATTAACTTAATTAGTCCTCCAGATTCTGACGGCTTGAGGACTCATACCCTGTTGGTAGCCTTTTTGTTCCAGGAATGTCAAGACCTTTTGATGTTGACTGATCTTTCTTCTGTCCTTTTTATGCAGTGACTCTGAGAGATGGGTTGATAGTCAGAGACTCCGTCTTCCCTGTCCTCAGATCTCCAGATGTACCTTGAATGTGCGCACTGTCCCTTGTGCGTGGCAGGCATTCAAGCGAAACTAAGATGGGGGGTCCTAAGCTCCCTTTTACTGTGGCCTCTTGTCTCTTTTAGTGACTCACACGGTCTAAGTACTTTTCTGTTCCGTGTGTGTGTGTGTGTGTGTGTGTGTGTGTGAGAGAGAGAGAGAGAGATTAGTCTTGGTTCTTATTGGAGCACTGGTGGGTTGACTCTGGAAGGAAAAAGGGGATTAATGGCAGCTTAGATAGTAGGGACTTTGGCTACTCTGGCCAGTCTCACAGATCTTTTGGGATGCTCTGAATTTTGTAATGTAAACCTGATTGTTTTTAAAATGTGTGGGTAGACGTATGGAGAGAACCAAAGGGAATTGTCAGGGGATTTGTCTGTATTTTCAAAAAATGTTCCCTCTTAGAACTGTGTAGTGGTTGTTCTTTAGTTTATTGTCATTGTGTCTTTGTTTTGTTTTGGTTTTGGTTTTCAAGACAGGGTTTCTCTGTGTAGCTCTGGCTGTGCTGGAACTCACTCTGTAGACCAGGCTGGCCTCAAACTCAGAATTTCCCCCCGCCTCTGCCTCCCGAGTGCTGGGATTAAAGGCGTGCACCAGCACCAGCACCAGCACCAGCACCAGCACCGCCAGCCTTATTGTTTTATCTTTTAAGGTGCCTGGCATGGATCCCAGGAGCTCACAAATAATAGACGGTGACTGCTGCTGAGCCACATCCCCAGCCCCAAAAGCCCCTTTTTTGTTCCTCGGTGTGGTGACACACAGTCTCTTTGTGCAGTCCCAGCTGGCCTGGGCTCAGTCCTCCTGCTTTAACCTTCTGAGTGCTAGGATTACAAATGTGTCCACGCCCACCACAGCTACTCAGGGAATCCTAGGGGTTGGGAAGCTTGCCAGGAGTGCAGGCAACAAATCAATGTTGTTTTTTTTGTTTTCTGTAACCCATACCTCTGTAACAGGAATGCACTGTTAAACACCGGCTGACGGCTTCCAGGTCAGGTCAGCAAGGGGGAAGCTAATGAGTATTTGTACAATTACAATATGTGTTTTCTTCTTGATACGATAATAGGTTAATATGCAATTCCCCATTGCCAGGTGGCAGACCATAATCCCAGCACATGGGAAACTGAGCCAGGGGTAAAAGCAGGACTTTGAGACCAGGTTGGGATAAATAGTGAATTCCAGGACATCTAGGATAAACTTACAAAGCGTGGTGGTACATGCCATTATCCCAGCACTGGGGAGGCAAAGGAAGATGGATCTGAGTTCAGGACCAGTCTGCTATACATAGTGAACTCCAGGACAGCCAGGACTAAATAGTGAGACCCTTTCTCCAAAAGGAAAGAGGGTGAGGCTGAACAGATGCCTAAGCGTGCATGCTGGTCTGCAGAGGGCTGGCGTTCAGTTCCCAGCGCCTGTGTTGGGTGACTCACAACCACCTGTAACTTCAACTCCAAGGGATTCCACATCTTCCTTTGGCTTCCATGGGCATCGAGAAACAAATGGTATACACGTTCATACACATAAATAATTTTTTTATTTCAAAAAGGTCATTCCATAATCATTTATATCCAGTCTAGACCATCACATATAAACCACTTAGCCAATATCACAGATCTTTGGGATGGTATATATCTTAGCATCCAAATCACATATAAACCACTTAAAAACAACTTGACTCCTGCTCACAGTGACTGGGGAGTGGTCGCTCTAAGTGTGGTCGGCACAGCTGCTCACACCAACTGTCCTCTGGAGTTCAGGGTCATTGTCCACATCGATTTGTGCCCTTGGGCTTGCTTTCTGTTCTTAGAGCTGATGAGTTCTCATTGAACCCACAGTGCTGTTTGGAGAGAGAGGTACTGGGTGGTCCCAGAACCCCCAAGGCAGCTGCGGTGGAGGGGTCCTGGTGGGCCCCCATGTTGCTATCCTCGTCTGCCTCTTGTTGCAGGGCCCCGTGAAGCACGTGTACAGGGTCCTGCAGTGTCAAGAGGAAGAGCTCACTCAGATGGTCTCCACCATGTCTGACGGCTGGAAATTCGAACAGGTATATTTCTCCAAGAGCAGCGACCCAGCACCTCCTCCCAGGGAGCCACAACCAGCCAGTCAGTCGCCCTGGGAGTGGGGTGGGTGAGGCAGGTGCAACCCCATTTCAGAAGTAGGAAAGAGCTCCTTGGTGTGCATTACCTGCTCAGCGGCAAGTGGTGGTTGTGAAGGGTTGGGAGGAGGACCACATTTCTTGGTTTCACATCCAGCGTTTGAACTTGACAGTGCCCGGGGTCGTGGAGCTTATAGACCTGAAGCACCTCCCTTTGCTTTTTGTTACCTCAAACATTCCTTCAGAAGCGCTCTGCTGACATCGTTCTGTGAGCCCTGAAGAAGGCTGGCTTCATCAGGAACTTAGTGTTCTGGATGGATGGGCCTCAGGGGTGCTAGAAGGGACCAGACACAGACGTGTGTCACAGTCATTTCCCAACATTCTCTCCCGTCATGTCTTTGTGCTTAGAATTGAGGTTAGGAAAACAAAGCCCCCAGGATCTGGATTTTACCGTTTTCTTCCAGTAGATGGCAGCCTAGTTCATTTTCTGTTGCCGCGGCTCTCCAGGAAGCTGAGCTTGCACGGGGTGAGCGTTGGTGTGGAGATGACTGTCTGTGGAGTCTCCGGCCAGCTGCACTGTCACCAGCTCACTTACAGAGCACATGCTACGGCTTGCGTGAGCACTGCTAGTTGTAGCTAGAGGCAGAGATGCCTCACTCTGCGCTGCAGAACCGGCCCCGTCACATGGGCCCCTAGTGCCCAGTCAGCCGTGGGTGGCCAGACACTGCAGGGCTTATCGTCACAACTCTTTCCTGATAGGTAATCTTAAGCAGAGGTTATTTAAAACAATATGTGAATATTCTTGGTGAAGGTAATGGTTAATTATAAATGTTACTTATTAGTGTTATCACGACCCTGGCTCTTGAACCCATGGCCTCACACAGTCTAGGCGAGTGCCCTCCCAGTGAGCTGCACTCTAGTCCTCACATGGAATCTTCTAATGCCTTGAAGGAGGGTGAGGTCTGTTCTTATTGCCTCCAAGGTGTGGATGAGGAAGTTGGACATGGGGGCTCCCAGTTCTGCAGCAGCAGTGCCCCAACCTCAGGCTGTGCTTGTGAGGCCACACTCGCTCTTTGCCTGCGTCTCTATGTGCAGATTTCCAAGTTAGAGTTAAATGCTGAATTGTTTCTCCCAAAGGGTTAAAGTACCATGGCATGCAGCTTTTGATGGCTGCAGAGTGGTTCGCTTGGTACTTCCAGGTCTTTCTGGGTTCTGGGTTCTGGTCTCTGGTATGGAGAAAGAGCCAGTGGGACCAGGCAGGGCTGGAGGGAGTGCCTGCAGAAATACTCATCTTACCTCATGTTGATGCTTCTTGATGCCTTTGGGGTAGTGTCAGGTGCTTGGGTGAGGGGACAGGATGGAACTCCGTGGTGATAGCTAGATCGGGATCCACTTGTTCCCAGGGACCTTGGCTGTCCCCAAGAACTGTTATCCTTTGAGGCATAAAACTACACAGTCCAGTTGGTGTGACTTGTGTGGTACTGGGGTGCTTTTTGGTTTGATTGGTTGTTTTGTTTTGTTTTTTGAGACAGGGTCTCACTAAATAGCCCTGGCTTCCCTGAAACTATTTAGATCAGGCTAGACTCAAACTCAGAGAGATCTGCTTAGCTCTGCATCCTGAGTGCTGGGTAGGTGTATCCCACCATGCCTGGCCCAGGACTTGAGTGTTTTAAGCCCCTGTGTATACGGGTATCTAGTTATCACCCTCCTGTTTTGCCAGCTGATCAGCATTGGCTCCTCCTATAACTATGGAAATGAAGACCAGGCAGAATTCCTCTGTGTTGTCTCCAGAGAACTAAATAATTCTACCAACGGCATCGTCATAGAGCCAAGCGAAAAGGCCAAGGTAAGACATGGCTTCCCCAGGCTGTCCTCTGCCTCCTTTGTGCCCAGCCTCTCTCCAGCTTTGCCCCGGCTGCCACTGGGTTCCTTTCCCTCCTTCCCCACTGCGAGTTTCTCTCATGCTCTCTTGGATGCTGGATTTAAACCAGGCTTTGTAGGGCCTTGCGAGATGGCAAGCAGAGTCAAATTGGTGAGCTCCGGCTTCAGTGCAAGACCTTGTCTCCAAAAAGAAAACAAAGTGAGGTGGAGAGTGATAAAGGAACATGCCCAGCTTGGACTTTGACTGCCGCACAAACATGCACACCCACCAACACACACACACACACACACACACACACACACACACACACACACACACACGCTTATACCACACACACGTATAAAAGCAGTCAGTGTCACAGGAGCTGTGCCTAGATGAGGGGAGTTTTTGCATCCTGTCAGGATGCTGAGGAAGCGGAGTTTTGCACTCAGGGCACTTCTCAGTGTTGCTGGATGCAGTCAGGCAGTGTCTGCCTGGCTCCTCGACAGCCCATGGTTTCCTTCTCCTCCCCCACTGTGCCCTACAAACGCACACTTCACACTTCTGAAGAGCCTGAGTGTGTGGTGACTTTAACTGCTTTCTTTAACTTAGAAAACTTTGATCCACCAGCACAGAACCTTCTCCTCCACAGCAACCTCCCTGTGCTTGGCAAGAGAGCTCTTTGCACTCAGGCACCCAATGAGGTTGAGGCTCCGAGCCTGCCTGCCTTGCTACATGGGCTGACAACAGATTGTGAGCTGCCCACAGGGCCAGAGGAAGCAGCTGCAGGTTTTAAAAATCTTTTTAAAATCGTTATTATGATATCTAGTCTACTTCACTGTCTTCAGCTGTATCCTGTGCCTCAGTGCCCACACCCCGAGCTGGTGCTGGAGACCCAGCCTTTCCCAGGGTGAGCACATGCTTTAGTCTCTCCTTCCCTCAGCAGTTGCTCAGCTGACTGTCTTCCACCATCTTCCACTCTTAGATTCTTCAGGAGAGAGGCTCACGGATGTAAACGGAGGATCTGAAGTTCCAGAACCCTGAAGGCAAGAGAGCGATCGACTGAGCAGCTGTGAAGGGAATCCTGCACCTGTACAGTAA